GCACTGATTTGTTATTTAATGGTTCTCAGATTATACACTTTCTTGATAAGTCCTTGCTCGAGAGCTAACTTGCGGAATCTGTTGATTTGCTTTTACTCAGCACTCCAAAATTTCTCCGATAAATGTTATGGGTTCTCTTTTGCTTTAGGACAGCTGGTACTCCACAGAGATTGCCCTTTAGTTTAAGAGACCTTACCTTTTGTTTCCCAGTTAAAAATATTAGGCAAATTTTGGTGGGCTACTTGAACTAGAGAACATAGTTATTTTTGAAGAGAGGGACTCAATATATTGAATAAAGATCAAAGACTCTAAAGATTATTAAAGATATGATGATTTGGGAGGTGCTTGGGTGTCTCAGTCAGTTAAGCATCTGCCTTTGGCTCAGGTCATGATCCCAGGATCCTGGGCTCGCTCGCTCTCTCTCTCTCTCAAGTAAATAAATAAAATTAAAAAAAAAAAAATGATGACTTTCACTGGTCCCCGGAAAGTAGCAACTGAACACTCTGTGGGTACCTCCAAAGTAAGGTCATGTGGGTGGCTCAGTTCATTAAGTGTATTCCTTCAGCTCAGGTCATGATCCTGGGGGTCCTGTGCCAGGCTCCCTGCTCATCAGGGAGTCTGCTTCTCCCTCTCTCTCTGCCCCTCCCCCTACTTGTGCTCACTCACGTGCGCACGCACTCTCAAATAAAAATAAAATCTTTAAAAAAAAAACACAAAGTGAGGTCATGTGGATAACAAGTTAATTGTAGAAATCCAAGTTCAGGACCTCTACGTTGTTTCAAAAGCATAATATAAATGTCACACCCCCCAACCCCTTGCCCAATTCCTGCTTCTAATAAAAACGCAGTCATAGTGTCTGGGTCCAAAAGTCATACACAAGGAGTTTATCGAATCCAGAGGATTTCTTTCTGATCTTCTTTCTGCTGAATTTTCTCACTTAGGATATGTAAAGTTTCTCTCCTGCGTCTGGGCCATCAGTAAGTATTGCCGTATATGGAATCATCTCTTGTGATTAAAACAAATTAAGAGAGAGAAATCCTTGCTGTATAATGTCAAATCAATAGAACACTCAGACTTTCCAAGAGAAACGTATAGCTTTGTTACCAGTTTGAAATGTTTCTTTTTTTTAAAGATTTATTTATTTAGAGACAGTGAGGGGGAGGAGGGGCAGAGGGAGAGGGAGAGAGAGAATCTTAAGCAGGGCTTAAGTGGGGCTCGATCTCACCACCCTGAGATCATGACCTGAGCTGAAATCAAGAGTCGGTCGCTTAACTGACTGAGCCACCCAGGCGCCCCAAGTTTTAGAGTTTAGAGAGCCTCTTCACTGTGATCTTTCCTTGACCACAGAAAAACATCCTGCCTCTGTCAAGAACAGGGTTTCAGGAAAGGGAAACACAGCAGTCCCTCCTTGAGTCTTCATCAATGGCAGGTAGCTACTCCTCTCTTTACCTTCTTAGTCCTATGCCATTACCTAAAGACCACATGAGAAGGAATATGATAAACTCTTAGAATCTAAAATAACTACATTAAGTTCTTTATTGGTGGACCTTCAGTGAAATTTTTGAAATTATATATTTTTTCTGCACCCATGTTTGTTTCATCTGTTTTTTTCTTACCTTTAATGAATGGCTCACATCAGCAAAAGAATCTTTCAGAAGAGCTGGTGTCCACTGAGGACCCATTTGCAGCATTTCTTCTGTCCTTCAGTTATATCATTATTACAAAAGCAAAGGTTCTGCTCTGAGCCTTTCCGGCTCCCGTTTGCCATCAGTGCAGAGGACCCAAGGGAACACTTTATTTCTTCTACTTGTGGTAGTTATCTGCTGTCTTTCCTCCCACCAACACAAAAGAGCTGGTAAACAAACGATTTCAGGAATCAAGCTCCCACTCCTGGTTCCATTACTGTTCTTACAGTAATTAATGTCAATGTAACAAACAACATTTGAGGCTTTTCAATGAACTGGGTGCTGTCCAGCATAAAATGATAAGCAAGAACCAAGGAGTTTACCAACCAGAGGGGGAAATTTAAGCCCTGACTTTAAAAATGGATGTGAATTTTCCAAATTAATGTTCCAAATTAATGTTTCACAAGTATGGTACCCAGTCCAGCAGACTTATCTGTGGAGCTGGTTAAGGAATATAGCTGCCTGGGTTAACCCGCCAAACCTATTGAGTCAGGATCTCGGAGGGTAGAGTAAGGAAGTCATTTTTAATTGGTTCCTGGATTTTTCTTATGCCTACACAGTTTGAAAACCACTGATGTCCTGTAACTGCCCTGGACAGTTATAAAGGGAAATGAGTCAAACACCATTGTTCATGAACAATTAATCCATGTTAACACTCCAGCTGAAGAAGTTCTCATCTTGGGATCAGTTAAAATCCACCAGGGAACTTGATGTGAAATACAGACTCCTGGGTGTGCCCCAGTCATTTCTTATTCAGTGGATGGGGCTGGGGGCTGGAAATACACACTTTTAATGTGCATCCTAGTGAATCCAATAGAGTTCGCTTTGTGGATAACACGTGGAAAAGCACTGACCTGTTGGATGGTGGTTGGCTGTAATCTCAGCAGTTTATTGAGGATGTGGAAACATTTAAGAAGTATTATTTTGTTAGGGGCTGGAGCAAAATGGTGAGATGCCAGGCAAGGCAATTCGTATTAATGGGCATGGATCGCATAGTAAAATGTGACCCTCACTTAGCCCTGTGGTTTGAATTGCTGCAGCCAATTCACTGATTTATTTCAATTGACCATAATAAATTCCATCTGGATTAGAAAACTTAGACTTTAAAAAAAAATTATACCATGTTCACTCAGACATGCCCTCTCATTGGAAAATGTAATCAAGGGGTGCCCGGGTGGCTCAGTCATTAAGCGTCTGCCTTAGGCTCAGGTCACGATCCCAGGTCCTGGGATCAAGCCCCGCATCGGGCTCCCTGCTCCACGGGAAGCCTGCTTCTCCCTCTCCCACTCCCCCTGCTTGTGTTCCCTCTCTCGCTGTGTCTCTCTCTCTGTCAAATAAATAAATAAAATCTTTAAAATAAAAAGGAAAATATAATCAATACATAGAATATAGATTGGAATGCTCTTTCCTGAAATGGTGATTATCTCCATTTATTACATTTGCCCAGGTGGGATGAAAGTACAAAAGGGTGTAGCAGGATTCTTCGCCTTTTAAAGTCATAAAAACCAAAAGCAAAAGAAAATCTTTATGGTAGCTTACATCATGTGTGAGGAACTCCATTGCTGTAAGGATGGACACTGAAGTCATTTTCCACTTACTACTCTAACGTATCCAGAAGTCATCACAGGCCAAAGTCAAAGACTCCACAGAACCCTCACTAAATTTCTTGTGAATAAAATCTGTCATGCAGACTCAAAACAGAACCTTCTACAAATCCAATTATTAAAAAGGGGGGGAAATTGTGCACATTTTAGATAAATTTATCCAAAAAGATCCAATTTGTTGCATGATTAACATGGACTATGAGAAGGAAAACATTTGACCATGAAAACCAATATTTAGCATACTTCTGATTCATCCAGATTACAAAAGCTCTTAAATATCTTTCTGGAAGAGCCAGAATGACCTTTGTTGAGAATGTCTCTCAGACACTGTATCCACATCATCAGTCCCAAATGTCAAAAAAGCTCTGAGGATTGATCTCACCTCCAAATTCTTCAGGACTGAAGTCCCACGCTACTGCAAGGCTGATCCTGCGGTGCAGAAAAAATAGTAGCTCAAAGGCAGAAATATATTAACTCGCCAGGCCAATACATGGACTTTACCTCCTTCCTTGATCACCTTCACTGGATTCCCAGAAGGCCTCTGAACATGGTCTTGCCTGATTCAAGAATATGAGACATGATTTCTCTGACTACCTTAGATCAATTTCTTATTACCCAATAAAAGAACCTAGGGTAGATCTCCAATGGAGGGAAGAAGCCTACTACTCAGGATCAAGGAATAAATGCAAACATTCTTCGGGGGCAGAAGGGGTGAAGGAGACGGGCTCGACTACTGTACTATGATTAAAACAGACTAATTTTCTCTGCTCCTAACCTTCCTAAACATTTAGCCTTACTTTTCCTCACTGCGAACAGCCCATGCCAATACTACAGTAGAATTTCCTTTCGTCAAAACAGGTGGAAACCAAGATCATTTTGTTAAAATTATATTCTTTGAGAAAATGGAAAATACCAGTTGAATCTAAGAGCTTGTGTGTGGAGGGGAAAGTAGAGACTGGTCCATCTGAACAATGGTAATAAAAGCTAAAACAGCCAGTGTTCTTTCCTTTCCCTTTATAAAGAAATTAGAATATTAAGAAATCAATTAAAATCCCATAAAAAGTACATGAGCTCATGTAATTGTCTTACTAGACAATAACTGCCATCGATATTGGAGTGAGATTATATAAAAGTTGTATTTGTTTTACTCATTACAAATTTGCCGAATTTGTTATTTTCTAATTATGTTTGTGCTACTAAGAGCTATTGTTCCTTTGGGCCAGTTAACTAAGTTGTTTCAAACTTGTGCCCATGAGACCTCCCTTGTAAAGGCTGGTGATTTTGCTGGTAATTTGTAAAGGCTGATAATTTTGCACTGAAAGCCATATTTCCCAGCCAAAAATGGAAACAATCACTATGTATAAACACGAAGCTGCCTTGTTGGTGGGGAGTGGGGGAGTGGGGTATGGGGCAGGATATGGATGACTCACTGTCACCCCTTCACACATGCAGGAGAAGCTCAAAATATATTCCTTAACTAGTTATTAGAACTGATTTTTTCAAATGCTTATCAAATTAAGAGGAGCAGAAATTATATTAAGCTGACTGAATTGCATGGAGTAAAACAAATGGCTCTTAAGTAAATACCTTCTTTGAGTGATACTACAAATAAAACCGGTTTTTGAGAATTGTGATGAGACAAACCAGCAAAAACAAGAGCAATGTGATGGTGATGATGCTGTCTGCATATTGATTTATATTTATGTTTTAGCTGTTTGAAAAAGTCAAAGAAATTTGTCCAGACGTGCATGAGAAGATCAGAGCTATCTATGCAGATCTCAATCAGAATGACTTTGCCATCAGCAAGGAGGACATGCAAGAGCTTCTCTCCTGTACAAACATTGTCTTCCACTGTGCAGCTACTGTGCGCTTTGATGATCATCTGAGGTACATGCCCATTTCCCTCTCATGGTGGGTGGGTATGTGTGTGTGTGTGTTGTGTGTGTGAGAGAGAGAGAGAGAGCGCACATGCATGTGTGTGTGTATATGTGTGTCAGTTTCTTTGTCATTTCTGCTAAAAAAAAAATATGTAAATGATGAATCACTAAATTCTACCCCTGAAACTAATAACACACTATACGTCAACTAAATTGAATTTAAATAAAAAAATTTTTTAAAAGATATATTCTTAATGAAAAAAATTCAAAGGAGTAAAACTTCTCCAAAAATCTCACCACCCAGAGATGACCATTTAATATTATGGAGAACATCCATTCCAACTTTTCTTTTCACAACCATAATAAAATAGACTATGTTCAACTTCACCAAAAAATGGCATCATATCGATAATTTTTTAGCAACTTGCTCAGTTATATCCTTGGATATCTTTCATTGTCAATAGATATTCTTTATAATTTCTAATGACTGCATGACATTCCATTATACATGTATATCGTATACTCAACCAGTTCTGTATTGGTGGATATTTTTGGATTGTTCTAATTTTTCACTATTATAAACAATGCTTCAGCGAACATCTGTGTGCTTGCATTTTTTTTATACCACTGTACACTTTACTTTGGGCAAATGTCCAGAAGTAAAATTGTTAGAGATGTAGCAGCTGTGCCCAGGTTATAAACGGTCAATGATACATTGTTTTCCACAAAGGTGGTATTAATTTACGTTCTCCCAGTGCACATGAATGCTCATTTCTGACACCCACAGCCATACTGTATTATAATTCTTTATTTTTAATGTTGCCAATGCAATGGAAATTACATTGCGTATTTTGATTTTGGTTTTATTGATAATTAGAAAAGTTGAAGATGTGGAAGTGCTGATTGGCATTTTATTCTTTTGTGAAATGCCTATTCGTGTTCTTTACATGTTTTTCTACCAAAACATTTTTTTTCTTGTCAATTTTAAGACTTGTTGGAATAGTTAGCATATTGATTTTTTTGTCTTTTATAAGGCTCAAAATATTTTAAATTTATCATTTGTCCTCAACTATTTTTATTATTTATGCAGTTATTCATAATTTCTTCTACAATTTTTATTGCTTCATTTTCACCTTAAATCTTTGACCCATTTAGAGTTTATTTGCCTATAAAGAGAAATAGGAAAATTCTATAAAAAGGAAAAGTGATGTGGGTGTGAATGTAGAGTAGCTTTTGAAAAATTTCTAACAGATGGCTACTTCTTAAGCAACATTTATTAAATGATTTGCTTTACTCTTTATTTAAATGAAGCTCTTATACTGAATTCCCATTGTTGGACTCTTTATTTTGTTCCATTACTTAGGCTTTCTCTTCCAACACCACAGTATTTTATTACAGTAATTTTTATTTTATTAGGCAAGTATACACATATCATTCTCTTTTTATAGAATTTTCCTGACTATTCGCATCTGCTTATCCATCTTGACTAAACTTAAGATAATTTTTCCATCTTCTTAAAAAGTTAGGAATTTGATTAGGACTATGTCACCTAATGAATATGTCACCTAACTTAGAAAAGCTTAACATATTTAAAACATTGGCTCTTCCTATCTAAGAACAATATATTGTTTATTCAATTTTTCTATAACCCTTAATGAAGTTTTATCATTTTTTTTGTATATAGTCTGTTCATTTATTCTTAACTTGATATATTTTTTAAATGTTCAGTTTTGAGTATGTGCCTTTCTTCCACCGTATTCTCCTGTGTTTTCCTTTAACACAACTTTTGTAAAAGGACACTTTACTGAATGAATCATTGCATGTCCCAGGGTGGTTTTTTTTAGCTCTTTTGTTTCCCAGATATAAAATTATGTAATCTGATAGAGATTTTCGTGACTGCCTTTGCAACTCTTATATTTGTTAATTCATTTTGTTTTCCTCTCTCATTACCGGGTGGAAGTTCAGAGCAGTACTAAGTAGTAGTAGTCTTGGCCCTGACTTTAAAAGCAGTGCTCCTAAATTTTCACCATTGAACATGATCCAGGCTAACAAAGGGAAAGGGATATATTTTAATACTTTATTGTTCTTTTAATGAATTTTTTAAAATTAAATTAGAGATGGATACTGAATGTCATTTTAAAACTTTTCAAAATGCATATAGAGGATCATTTAGTTTTTCTCTTTTTTATGCTCTTTTTTAGTTAGATTAATAGGGTTCCTGACATTGTATAAACCATGTATTTCAGGAATGAACCATTTCATTGTCATCACATATTGTGCTTATATAACTTGGTGTTCTATTAGCTAAAATTTAGGATTTTGACATCGATTTTTAGGTCTGACCTGGACCTTTGCAATAGAAATTTCTATTTCTCATTCTCCATCCACTGTTGCTCTCCTACAGTTCATTTGAATTTTGCAGCTTCTTGAGTTAGATGCTCAATTTATGTATTTTTATATACTTTGTAAAGATTTTATTTATTTATTTGACACAGAGACAATGAGAGAGGGAACACAAGCAGGGGGAGCAGGAGAGGGAGAAGCAGGCTTCCCACTGAGCAGGGAGCCCGATGTGGGGCTCGATCCCAGGACCCTGGGATCATGACCTGAGCCGAAGGCAGCCGCTTAACAGCTGAGCCACCCAGGCACCCCTATTTTTATATTTTTAATGGCTGCTTAAGAAGACCCTTTATACATTCAGAGGATTATGATTTTTTTTCCTTCCAGCTGATTTAGAACCAACCATATAGAGCCATCTCTATATGCAATATGAACAATGCTTCAATGAATAGGATTTATGTGTGCAGAATGCATCATCACCATATAACAACTTGCAGGCATCACGTCACTGTGTAGCCACGACCCATGCTTTTCTTTTTGGTCCTTTGGTGAAGCCACAGAAATCAGATGGACATGCCAGTTATTTGAGTAGGTGAAGTTCTAGCAAGGCAGGATGCCAAGTTGCCTCATTGTACTTCCTTCTCCTGCAGACATGCCGTGCAACTTAACGTCACTGCTACCCAGCAGCTCTTGATTATGGCCAGTCAGATGCCCAAGCTTGAAGCCTTCATACATATCTCCACTGCCTTTTCAAATTGTAACCTGACGCACATCGATGAGGTCATCTACCCGTGCCCTGTGGAGCCAAAAAAAATTATCGACTCCATGGAGTAAGTTGGGTCACATGAGGGGGTTGGGCGGTGGGCAGATGGTTGTTCTCTGTGATTCTCTGTAGTCATTCATTAATGAGGTAACAAAGCGAGACACTTGAAACAGCATGCTTCGCAAAGGTGCTAGCTTTTGCAACCCGATCCCTGCTGTTCCCTTCATGCTAGCCTGGGGAGGGAGTATAGTGCTTGGTGATGGGGAGGACAGGCATGGATAAATGCCACGGAAGAGTTTTGTGGAATAGTTTGGGATCGTACTAGGTGCACAGGAATGCTTTCCATAGAGGTGGTTTTTCATTTCTTACTGAACTCTGCATGGTCACTAAAGGAAGTAGAGTGTACAATGTAAAAGTGAAGAAGAAAGTTTTCAGCGTCAGACCTTCCTATCTGTGTGACCTCGAGTGAGTTCCTTGGCCTCTCTGTGCCTCAGTTCCTTCATTTGTGAAATGGGGCTGATAATAGTGCTCATCTTGTAGTGATGATAAATTGAGTTATATAAGGCAGTCACTGTGTTCAGGAGTGTTTAATAACAGTTAATCAAAAGGTTAATAAGGAAGAACTCATAGGTAAGTGGAAATCCTCCCAGGTCTGGGAGGAAATGCGAGTCTCTTGGTCTAGGAGACCGAGATACGCTTTCCTTATTGCCCTGTTGTGGAGGAAAAATAACGGTCTAGCATCTTTCTCTTCTTGCCTACTAACAGGAACCACTTTGTTCTTAGAACATGGCCCTGGTCTCAGAATAAGTATGTTTTTGTTTTCTCCGTCTTCATTCTTCTGCTCAATTTATCAAGTTTACCTTGTTTAAAAAAAAAACAAACAAAAAACTGCAAAAGAAAGTATTACAACAGAGAAAATAGACTACTTCCCGTGAAATTTGTCAGATGTTAATTTCATGTAATACTGTACCTCTCTTTAAGATAGACTCTTTTTTTTTAATTTTATTATGTTAGTCACCATATAATACATCATTAGTTTTTGATGTGGTGATCCGTGATCCATTGTTTTCGTATAACACCCAGTGCTCCATGCAGTACATGCCCTCCTTAATACCCATCACCGGGCTAACCAATCCCCC